TTTTTAAATGTGTATAAACATATTGTCGAAATTATCTCCTATATTCAGAGATTGTCTTCAACAACTGGGATATGATTGAATCACCATTCATTGTTTTAAGATTACACATTGTTTCATGTCATTCTACACTAATTTCACATCCCGTAGCAACTCTATTCAAAATCATGACTTCATTCTCCTGTAGTTCAAGAAGAAGTTGAGCAGCGAGACCCTGAAGGTGCTCCGTCAGAAGCTGGCTCCTGACTACTTGCTTTACGAGCACTTCTCCAGTAGGTTTGAGGAGCTTGTGGAAGACTTCGGTAAGGAGCGCATGGCTAGTGAGGTCTCCAGACTCCAGGCTCTCACCAAGAGTCTGATGGACACCTGTGGCTTCATCAAGGAAGATTCTGTGTTCCTAGCGGGGGCTGAGAAGCCATGGTCTAACATGGTAAGTATTATATACCTAGGTATTATAGTTGTGAGGGATGAGAGGTAGGAAGGGCTGATCCGAGGAAGGAAAGGATACCTTCATTTTCTTGCATTAAGAGCAGCTCGTTCACTGGCATTAAGATGGCTGGTATGAAATGTATATTGTGGTGTGTGGCCGCTGCGACACTGTACTATCGTTACTGGAGTAAAACAGCAGCCGCAGTCTTTCACAATTTTTTTTCACACGTCTATTCAAAGTCTAATGTTATATTAATAATAAAGCGCTGTACCAGGGTCTAGTGTTACTCAGCTAGTATTACTCAGTTACGCAGCGTTTTCACATCCGGACTAGCATTCTAAGAATACTGTTTTGACAGGTGGAAGGCTACGTCGCTAGCTCCGGCAACACCAAGTGTCACCAGTACTCCAGATCAGAGATCTCCTTCATCAACCTGTTGAGAGGGATACAGAGGGCAGAGGTCTGCAAGAGGTGGGTGGTGGTCTGCCTGGACGCTTTCTTGTGTCTAGGGTCTCGGTCTCGTCTATGTCTACTCTCATTCTCATTATTTTAACCTTCGCCATTGACTGAGTCTGTATTCCCATTTATGTCTCAGTTGCAAAGACACACTGCCTCTAATACTGTACTTCCTTTCTTTCTCACACATACATGGGTTCACAGGGTATGAGTTCATATAACTATTTTTTTTCAATACAGGAATTTATTTAAAGTTTATAAATCTGTGGATCTGTCCATGGTATCGCCTCGGAGAGATCCACAGATGGAAGTAGGTCATGCCTATGAGTTCGACAAGCGTAGAATTCCCTGGATCAAGATCCCAAGATGTTGCTGTCTGGCCAACCTGTAGATTTATCCAAGGTGATACCGCCCACGACTGCTTCACCTCACCTGTGCACACTACATAACAAGGCTATTCAATTGGCGGTCCGAATCCGGACCTTCTGAGTGTCGTAGTTGAACTGCGGGCTTCAGGACAAAGCTTAGTTAAATAACAGCTATTACCACGTTCAGAATCAGGTGGTACACAAGAGCAGGATTAATACATTATTCTATCTGTATGGAATGTGTACAATGAATTGAATACAGTATTCTAGCATAGCTAAATAGTGATATTTTCTTCCATTCAATGGTAATTCATATTGGTAATTATCACTTGTGCAATGAAGTTTGCTTCTTCGGTATTTTGGAAAAAGAGTTTGTAGTTTGAAAACTCATTTAAACCAGTTGAGTAAAAAAAAATCCAAAACTTAATCAATATAATGTAAAAATTATTTTCCCCCACTTTATCTTCGTATTTTGTAAATTTTTATAAGACGAGGACTGAAAGTTCATAGAAAATGATGAGTTCACTGCCCTATACTGGACACTGGGCACTGAACAGGCACCTGAAGTCAGTACCTGACCAACCGGGCTGTGGTTCGTACGTCAGCTTGCGAGCGGCCAGCAGTAACAGCCTGGTTGATCAGACCTTGATCCACCATGAGGCCTGGTCTCAGACCGGGCCGCGGGGGTGTTGACCCCCGAAACCCTCTCCAGGTTCTCGGATTTGTTGCTTTTCATGACCCCTCAAGGGAGGTTCCTTGATGCTGGTGAGGGGCTCTTGATCTAGGGAATTGGATCTGTGCTCCAGTTCCCTGAATTGAACCTGAATACCTTCCATCCCCCCACATGCGCTGTATAACCCTACGGGTTTAGCGCTTCCCTGTGATTATAATAATAATAATAATAATGCTTTTCATGATTGCGTGCAAAAAAATGTATCCGTACGTTTGCATACATTGATACTTGTCTAAGTGGACCTTTGCTCATAGTAATTGAATAGTCCTGTTATATAAGCTCTTTCTGATGATTATTTGCAGGTTTGGCGTTCCTGACATCCCCGGCCTGGACGCTCTTCCTCTAGGCTCCCACCTCTTTGAGAACGTCAACATGGAAGAGAATATCCGGTTGCTCAAGACGCTGCTGGTCCATGTTAACAACAAAGTGGCCCATGCTGACAGCGGTGTGGTCCAAGCTGACAGCAGTGTAAAGGGAAGTGTAGTGGACAGAACCACTACAACCATATCTCGGGAGACTACGTGAGCCATACTACCAAGGCTGGAATAATTCTCAACTAAATCATGACTAGACGAGGCTTCCATCCATCCTGCATCATTATCAAGCCACGACTTGATAAGAATCAATTATTATTATTAATATTATTATTATTATTATTATTATTATTATTATTATTATTATTATTATTATTATTGTCGAGAAGCGTAAAATCCCCAGTACCTGGAGAATGGGGAATTAATCAGATTTGATCCACAGGAGGATGAAGGGAGCTCCAATTCCGAGAATCAACAGCCCTTTACCACCATTCAGTACAACCCTTTGAAGGGTGAACTCGAAATATGCAATCATAAACTATATGTCTGTGGTTATCATGTGCCTTTTACACGAAGGAAATGCACATATACACTCTAGCCTAGTCGGTACAGTATTGTCTCAAGTAACAGTAATAAAAATAATAATAATCTTTCTTTATAGAGAAGAGGATATTTACATTTTAAAGAGTAATAAAATTTTGCACAATGGTTCTGAGGGCAGCATAGGTGTCTGACCCAAATAACAATGATATATGTAGATTTTGACACATAAGAATGATAATGTAGATTTAATCTAAGATTCTAAGATAATGGGTTACTTTCCTGATCTGGTGAAATTATGTCAAACATTGATGAATAAACGCCAAATATTGTACTCACATAAAATTTAACCTGTGAATATATTATTATTTTATGGAGAAGCGCTAAACTCGTAGGAGATACATAAGTAGACTTGTGGATGGCGTCCTCGGCTTTGCGAGATATGTGGGTAAGTGTCCTTACCTGTCCTGCCTCCTCGCCTAGCAGTTAATAGGTACCCAAGTATTAGTAGACTTGTGGGAGACAATATATTAGCAAGATATACTTAAGACAACTATCAGCAAGTGCCTTCCTCTCTTCTACATCAGCCTTACAATGCTCTGTGGCTGGGTTTAACCCCGGCTCTTTTTTTTAACAACTGAAGACATTCCTGAGGTATTCTCCGCCTGTCCCTACTTCCCCCATCCCTTGTGGGTCTTACCTCTGAGTCTTCAGTTCAGTTCAGCAAGTGCTCTTGCTTTGTTTAGATATTTGATAGACCCAACATGACTCAAGAAATCGTAATGACACGATTGCAAATAAACCATACCCCCGGCCGGGATTGAACCCGCGTGGCTAGCTGGTCTAGTGGCTAACGCGATGGGCTGGAGTTTTGAGACTCTATGACCGCGGGTTCAATCCCGGCCGGGGGTATGGTTTATTTGCAATCGTGTCATTACGATTTCTTGAGTCATGTTGACGGCAGTGAAGGGACTTGAGCTAGAGTTCGTCACGGCCACGCTAGCTGGAGATTCGTCTGTAAAAACTTGCATTTGTGGTCACAGAGGTGCCTGTACTAACTTTCCTATGGTGTAGAAATATACCTAGTTGGATGAATCTTATTGTGGCTAGCTGGTCTAGTGGCTAACGCGACGGGCTGGAGTTTTGAGACTCTATGACCGCGGGTTCAATCCCGGCCGGGGGTATGGTTTGATAGACCCATTTTTGAATAGTTTGATATATTTAAAGCCTATCTACTAGACAAGAGTAATTTTCTCTATCATCTCAAACTCTTCATCTTTCACAGTTCTTCTCTGTATTGGACTAAAGAAGCCACTAGTTGGCGAAATGTTTCCTAAGATACCCAAATGTTGCATAAGTGTCTTATTCTTACTTTGTATATACACTTAGAGATATACTTTGATGAGAAATATATTTCCTTGCTTAAGAGATGTATTATACCCAGGGGCCAAATGAAGAAAAAGTGTATGGAACGCTTAGTATAATATAAAAACTGACGGAAGAAATTCTGTGAGGAAACTGAACTACCAATGCTAAGAAGCGTCAGCCCCTCAGGGAAGGTTCCTTGATGTTGGTGAGGGGCTCTTGATTTAGGGAATTGGATCTGTGCTCCAGTTCCCCGAATTAAGCCTGAATACCTTCCACATCCCTCCCCCCAGGCGCTGTATAATCCTATGGGTTTAGCGCTTCCCCCTTGATAATAAAATAATAATAAGAAGCGTCAGATGAAATAGGATGTTAGGCTATGTGGGCTGCTACTAGCAACAGTCTAGTTGACCCGGTAATACAGTGAAGTCTAACCTCGAACTGGTCTTCCAGAGCTGAAGAATATTTTAATAAGAGGAAAATAATTATTTTTTTGAACGCTTTTAAAATGTGATAGTTATTTTTTCAGTCTGTGATGTTTTAATATGTGTTGCAGAGTCAGATATTCCAGAAATAAAGTTTCGAAATCTCTGGTATTATTTCTTCCAATCCTCTTTCAGTTTTCAGTGTACAAAATGGAATTATTTGCTTTCAGAGTTATCATGGCAATTGCTAATTTTTGTTTATTTTTATCTTTTTTTTTTCTTTTAATAATTTTGTGTGCATATATACGTCCTTGTAAATGGTCCAAGTCGGACCATTTATTATTATTATTAGTAGTAGTAAATGGTCCAAGTCGGACCATTTACTACTGCAACTACTACTAATAATAATGATAATAAAATAATTATAACTAATAAAAATTATAATAATAATGATAAATAATAATAGTAATATTTGGGCTCACCATTTACATAACTCACTGAGTTCTGAAATGTACTATAATTACTATATGATGCAGAGGAAGAACTATTCATTTTGAAGATGTGTAGGAGGAAGAAGAGGATGAAGTAGAAGAGCAAGAGGAGGAGAAAGAGCAGAAAGATTGATTTATTGATATAATTTGGTCGATCATCGAATAGCAAGATCACTGACGCTGAAAGAGGGTGAAGAAAGAGGAGAGAAGAGAGGGAAGGTGAGAAGTGTGGTGGGGTCAAACATTACGAGAAAATGATGATGGTTGAATTTAATAAATTAAAAGTATGGATATAATAAGTGAGGTGATAAAATGACCCATAAAGAGAGAGAGAGAGAGAGACCCGAGGTTTCCAAGGCAACAAGGGCGCCTCTGCCTGACCTAAACGGATTTGAATATTTTTATATGTGTGGCTTGTTGCTGTTGCTGTGAGGGTTGCCATGTGTCTGTTATCTTTATTACTCGCATGTGTGCGATGACTTTGTTGTGTGTTCCTTATTATTTATTTAAGACGTTTTTGTAGTCTCTCAAGTACACACACACTTCAGAGATTAAGTAAGCAGTTATCCACTAACTACACTGTGTACATCAGGCCTATTATATTGGAGTATGCGGCACCGGTAGGGAACCCACACCTGGTCAAGCACATCAAGAAGCTGGAGAAAATGCAGAGGTTTGCAACAAGACTAGCCCCGGAGTTAAGAGGTATGTCCTATGAGAACAGGTTAAGAGAACTCAACCTGACGACATTAGAGGAGACAAGGACTAGGAGCGATACAATAATAACGTACAAAATACTGAGAGTAATTGATGGTGTTGACAGGGACAGTCTGCTCGAGAAGCGGGAAACAGGAACAGGAGGGAACAACTGGAAAGCATGAGTCACAGGGATGTTAGGAAGTATTTCTTCAGTGTCAGGAAATAGAACGACCTGGAGAATGGAGAGGTCGAGGCTAGGAAAGTGAGCCCAATAGCGACTAGCTTAGTGGGGGCCAAGAGATGTAACTCTACCCCTGCAACCACATATTAATGAGTACATATAAGTGAGTACATACACATTATCCAGTTTTGCTGTTATACAGTGTACTATGAGAGATAATGCAGAAGATAGTCAGGAGAATAGTGAGCACTTGGAGAGAAGTGGTTTCATCAGTAACAACCAGCAGGGATTCAGAGATGACAAGTGTTATCTAAGTAAGTGCAGAAGTATGTAACGAGGTTAGTTCTCAAGCTAAGAGATACTGGTTATAAGGAAAGGCTAAAGGAATTGAATAACGACCCTGGAAGACAAAAGGACCAGGAAAGACATGATAACAATATACAAAACAAGAGTAACTGATAAGGCAGACAGGGACAGGGGTTGAGAAGAGACATATATGAGTCACAGGAATGTCAGAAAGCATTTCTTCAGCCTCAGGGGTAGTCGGGAAGTGGAGTGATGTAGTTGAAGAAGTGGTGAAGACAGATTCCATGCATTGTTTTAAAAATGGGTATGATAGGAGCCCACGAGACTAGGAAAGTATGAATGTGAAGCTAAGAAAGTGTGAATGTGAGGCTAGGAGAGTGTGAATGTGAGGCTAGGAAAGTGTGAATGTGAAGCTAGGAGAGTGAATGTGAGGCTAGGAGAGTGAATGTGAGGCTAGGAAAGTGTGAATGTGAAGCTAGGAAAGTGTGAATGTGAGGTTAGGAAAGTATGAATGTGAGGCTAGGAAAGTGTGAATGTGAGGTTAGGAAAGTATAAATGTGAGGCTAGGAAAGTGTGAATATGAGGCTAGGAAAGTGTGAATGTGAGGCTAGGAAAGTGTGAATGTGAGGTTAGGAAAGTATGAATGTGAGGCTAGGAAAGTGTGAATGTGAGGCTAGAAAAGTGTCAATGTGAGGCTAGGAAAGTGTGAATGTGAGGTTAGGAAAGTGTAAATGTGAGGCTAGGAAAGTGTGAAAGTGAGGTTAGGAAAGTGTGAATGTGAGGCTAGGGAAGTGTGAATGTGGCGAGCAGAAGCTGAGCGACAGGGCCAAGAACTAAGACTCGACCCTTACAGTCACATATAGTGAGTACATATAGATAAGCGCACACACGCACGAACACACACACACACACACACACACACACACACACACACACACACACACATCTTCTTGGACTGCAAGAAGGCCTTTGACACAGTTCCTCACAAGAGATTAGTGCAGAAGCTAGAGCATCAGGCGCATATAACAGGAAGGGCACTGCAATGGATCAGAGAATACCTGACAGGGAGGCAACAACGAGTCATGGTACGTAATGATGTATCACAGTGGGCACCTGTGACGAGCGGGGTCCCACAGGGGTCGGTCCTAGGACCAGTGCTATTTTTGGTATATGTGAACGACATGACGGAAGGGTT